AGGGAGCAGACAACAGCTGGGACGGGTTAGAGGGGACAGGATCAAACACATTTTATCTGTTTGTCAAATAGTCAACAATTACAACATGAAACAATATCTACTGAACAGAAAAAACAAGGACAAATTATTATTATTATTATTTTTCAAGAGACACAAGCACCACTGTCATTTAAAATGATCTGGGTCTACTTTTAAAGACTGAAGATATCAGATAAATTGTATACGGAGTGTCAGGGTCAGGGTTGAGCTCTGGGGTTGGAGTAACAAGACCCAAGTTTAAGGACCACTGTAAGTTGCAATACCTGACACTTCTTTTGCCCACAGGTAATTAAAAACAACCTGTTATCTCTACCTTATAGAACTAATGTGATGATCAAAGAAAATATGCAAAGGTAGTTTGTAAACTCTTCGGTGTGATGTGCACTGAAGCATTTTTAGTAACGCTTATAAGGCATATGCCTGGTTTTATTCCATTACTCTATACATATGAATACTGAAGCTTCCAGAAGAGAAAACAAGGCAAGATAAAACCATTTTAGAAGGATAATTACTAAGGCACAGAAAAACGAAGTTTTCTGATTATGTACGGTATTTAAAACAGACTCAGTAAGATGTACATGAACTATGCCTTAATTTCTGCTTTTTAAAAATTCAACAGTAAAAAATGTCCCTAGCTTAGATTCGACTGGGACTGGGGCAAAAAGAAGTACACTAAATAAGACTGTAGGCATGAGGCAAGATCATGTTTCACAAAAGATGTGACCTAATGCCTTTATAGGAATCTCTTTTATTCTTCATATTCCCTACCACCTGCCAGGGATCAGCTCAAATCAAAGGACTATTTGATCCTTGACTTTTTACCCAATAGGAGGTTCAAGCAGGTACTTAAAAACAGATTTTTCATTATTATTTTACTCCACTAATTAATTTTTAGCTTTGGCTGTTTAGCATGGGAACTATATCTTGATCTAGCCATTTATTCTTCTCTTTATTTCTTCGGGTAAACTAAGATACAAAGGTGTGTGCTTATTTCTTTTAATAAGGATCAAAGTATTTACCTTTATCAAGGAATTGTTAGGTTAACATAAAGAACTCTGAGAGGGAATTTAAAGTAGACACTAAAGTGGAATTGACCTTTTTTCTGTCTCCCCCTCACATTAGATGAGAAAACTTCAGTAAAAACCCAGCTGGTCATGAGATCACACAAGATTTTAAAGGCAAGTGAGAAAGACAGGATATATAAGGATATATATACACGTACACCATTTACCAGAGCAATCAGCTTCCTTGTAAAATCACTGTGTATAGTCCATGCATAATTAATGGGAAGAATAACTCAATTTTTTTCTAATTATATCTTTGCATTTACAACATATCATTTGTGTATCAATTACACATCCTGATTTCTTTAGTCAGGATCCTAATCTCCCACTATAAACCCAGTTACTCTTATTTAAATAAAATAATTCACTTTATAATGATCTGTAATTTCTAGGAACAAATTATGCTTATATGTGTATATGTCTCCCTCCCTCATTGTCCCTCGCAGTCACATCCCCAGCATTACTGGGAAAGAATTTATCACAAATAAGTGAGTTTTTTTTTAAGTTATAATGTGTCCTTTATGAGGAGCATGTCAATGCAAACATCAAATTGGGTTTGAATATTTTTGAAGAAAATTTTATCATAATACACATTCTCTTAATTAACAGAATGTTACTATAATTAACAATGTAATTAGTATACCATAATTATAATTAACATTATGATATAATGTCAACTAATCTTGATCACTTAGGGTCATCATTATGAATATCTAGCAACGGACTGCATTATAAAATCTTTATGAACTCAGAGGTTGCTAAGGAGTGTGGCACTATTCACCTTATCCTAGGTAGCTCCAGACTACACTCTTCCTTAGGTGACTGTGATTGCCTCTGAGAGCTTTCCACCTCCTTTGTCAGGAGGTTTAGCAGTATTTCCTGCTCCTCTCAATATGCCTATATCCGGCAGGCTCTCCCTTCTCCAGGTAGGTATCTGTTGATTTTAAAAGTGGTAGAAAGAGCTGTGGTCTCAAAGTGAAGCAATCAGGGGTCCAGGCCTGTCTCTACCACAGCCCAGTCTCACGACCCTGGACAAACCACTGAACCTCTCTAGGATTCTGTTTCCTTAGCTAATGAAAGAACTGGTCTGAATGACCTCTGAGGTCCCAACCTTAAGACTTTATGATGAATATTGCTGAGGGGTGGGAAACACTGGCATCTAAATTTATTAGAACTGGGTCCAAAGAAAGAACGAGAAACTCTAAGAAAGGACCTCAGAGGTTCCAGTACTTTTGTGCATGGAATTTATAACATCTTTTTTTTGCTATGTCATGGACTTTTGGGTCTTACTTTTAGGCTCTTTGCTATAGTTGCCATAACTGAGGTCCCTCATCAAATAAATGATGTCCAGATAAATGAGACATACCTACATAAAAATTAAAAGCTTTTTCACTAATGAAGAAGAAGAATAAAGTTGGAGGACTCACACTACCTGACTTCAGAACCTACTATGCAGCTACAGTACTCAAAACAGCCTGGTACTGGTACAACGACAGATACATTGACCAATGGAACAGAATTGAGAACACAGATGTAAATCCATCCACCTACGGTCACCTGATC